TGGAGAAGGACATCATGCTTGGTAAAGTAGATGGTCAGCAAAAAAGAGGAAGACCCTCAACAAGATTGATTGACACAGGGGCTTCAACAATGGGGTCAAACAGCAACGATTGTGAGGATGCCACAGGACTGGGCAGTGTTTCGTTCCATTGTACACAGGGTCACAATGAGTCGGAACCAACTCGATGGCACCTAACAAGTTTCCTAGGAATGCTACAACAAAGTACCATAAACTTGGTGGCTGAAACAAGAGAAATGTATTCTCTCACAGTTCTGGAGGATAGAAGTCTAAAATTAAGGTGTCAGCAGGGCTGCACCTTCTCTGAAGGCTCTAGGGAAGAATCCTTGTTTGCCTTTTCCTAGCTTCTGGTGGTTTCAGGGAATTCTTGGCTTTGCTTGGCTTGTAGTTGCATCACTTGAGTCTCTGCCTCCATCATCACATGACCTTTTTCTTCCTGTGTGTGTCCTCCTTCTCTCTTCTTATAAGGAGACCAGTCATGGATTTAGGGCCCACTCTAATCCAGTATGACCTCATCTTAAGATTACATCTGCAAAGACCGTATTTCCAAATAATGTCACAGTCTGAGGTTCGGGGTAGATACGAATTTTAGGAGAACACCAGTCAACCCAGTACACAGAGGGTAGGCCCAGACTCCTGCATTGGAAAAGGGAGACCTGGTAAGGAGCCAAAGATTGGTTGAGGGAATAAAGGCCGAAGTGACAGATTCTCAGTTTCTTCCATAGATAATCATGTCTTCTTCTATGTCCAACTGACATTTTTAACTCAGCAGCTACAAAATGAATTATTTCTTTTCCTTCACAGTTACAAACTAGGTTCTTCCTTTGACTTCCCTTTTCCTTACCCTGGCTCTAATTATATTTTTTTTTTTTTTTAATTTTAACTTTTTAAAATGTTCTTTGAACCACATGTCCGTAAGTAGCAAAGTCGTCTTATCTCCCTTCATTCTTTTGTCATTGCTTGCATCCATTAATTCAAGCTCTTATCACCTTGTACTTGCTTTGTTGCTGGAGTTTCTTTACCGATTTGCCTGCCTTAGTCTTTAAATATTTTCCTAATAAATTTGCATTCTACTGCAGGATCCCCCCACGTGTCTGTCAGTTTGTTGTACTGTGGGGGCTTGCGTGTTGCTATGATGCTGGATCTATGCTACCAGTATTCAGATATCAGCAGGGTCACCCATGGCAGACAGGTTTCAGCTGAGCTTCCAGACTAAGATAGACTAGGAAGAAGGACCCAGCAGTCTACTTCTAAAAGAATTAGCCAGTGAAAACCTTATGAATAGCAGTGGAATATTGTCTGACATAGTGCCGGAAGATGAGCCCCCCAGGTTGGAAGTCACTCAGAAGATGACTGGGGAAGAGCTGCCTCTTCAAAGTAGTCGACCTTAATGACATGGATGGAGTGAAGCTTTCAGGATCTTCATTTGCTGATGTGGCATGACTCAAAATGAGAAGAAACAGCAAACATCCATTAATAATCGGAATGTGGAATGTACAAAGTATGAATCTAGGAAAATTGGAAATAATAAAAAATGAAATGGAAAGCATAAACACCACTATCCTAGGCATTAGTGAGCTGAACTGGACTGGTATTGGCCATTATGAGTCAGACAATCTTATGGTCTACTATGCTGAGAATGACAGCTTGAGGAGTGGCGTTGCATTCGTCGTCAAAAAGAACATTTCAAGATCTACCCTAAAGTACCATGCTGTCATTGATAGGATAATATCCATACGCGTACAAGGAAGACCAGTTAATACGACTGTTATTCAAATTTACTTACCAACCACTAAGGCCAAAGATGAAGAAATTGAAGATTTTTACTAACTTCTGTAGTCTGAAATTGATCGAACGTGCAATCAGGATGCATTGATAATTACTGGTGATTGGAATGCAGAAGTTGGAAACAAAGAAGAAGGATCGATAGTTAGAAAATATGGCCTTGGTGATAGAAATGATGCTGGAGATCGCATGATAGAATTTTGCAAGACCAGCGACTTCTTCATTGTAAATACCTTTTTTCACCAACATAAACGCCGACTATACACATGGACCTCGCCAGATGGAATACACAGTAATCAAATTCACTAATCTGTGGAAAGAGACAATGGAAAAGCTCAATATCATCAGTCAGAACAAGGCCAAGGGCCGACTGTGGAACAGGTCATCAGTTGCTCATATGCAAGTTCAAGTCGAAATGGAAGAAAATTAGAACAAGTCCATGGGAGCCAAAGTACGACCTTGAGTATATCCCACCTGAATTTAGAGACTATCTCAAGAATAGATTTGACACATTGAACACTAATGACCAAAGACCAGATGAGTTGTGGAATGACATCAAGGACATCATACATGAAGAAAGCAAGAGATCGTTAAAAAGACAAGAAAGAAACAAAAGACCAAAATGGATGTCAGAAGAGACTCTGAAACTTGCTCTTGAATGTTGAGTAGCTAAAACAAAAGGAAGAAATGATGAAGTAAAAGAACTGAACAGATTTCAAAGGGTGGCTCAAAAAGACAAAGTAAAGTATTATAATGACATGTGCAAAGAGCTGGAGATAGAAAACCCAAAGAGAAGAACACACTTGGCATTTCTCAAGCTGAAAAAACTGAAGAAAAACTTCAAGCCTCGAGTTGCAATAGTGAAGGATTCTATAGGGAAAATACTAAACGACCCAGGAAGCATCAAAAGAAGATGGAAGGAGGAATACACAGAGTCATTATACCAAAAAGAGTTGACTGACATTCAGCCATTTCAAGACTTAGCATATGATCAGGAACTGATGGTACTAAAGGAAGACGTCCAAGCTGCAGTGAAGGCATTGGTGAAAAACAAGGCTCCAGGAATTGAAGGAATATCAATTGAGATGTTTCAACAAACGGATGCAGCGCTGGAAATGCTTACTTGTCTATGCCAAGAAATTTGGAAGACAGCTACCTGGCCAACCAACAGGAAGAGATCCATGTTTATGCCTATTCCCAAGAAAGGTGATCCATCCGAATGTAGAAATTATTGAACAATATCGTTAATATCACGCGCAAGTAAAATTTTGCTGAAGATCATTCAAAAGCGGCTGCAGCAGTATATCAACAGGGAACTGCCAGAAATTCAGGCTGGATTCAGAAGAGGGTATGAACCAGGTATATCATTGCTGATGTCAGATAGATCCTGGCTGAAAGCAGAGAATACCAGAAAGATTTTTACCTATGTTTTATTAACTATGCAAAGGCGTTTGACTGTGTGGATCATAACAAATTATGGATAACATTGCGAAGAATGGGAATTCCAGAACACTTAATTGTGCTCATGAGGAACCTGTACATAGATCAAGAGGCAGTTGTTAAAACAGAACAAGGGGATACTGTGTGGTTTAAAGTCAGGAAAGGTGTGCGTCAGGGTTGTATCCTTTCACCATACCTATTCAATCTGCATGTGAGCAGATAATCCGAGAAGGTGGACTATATGGAGAAGAATGTGGCATCAGGATTGGAGGAAGACTTATTTAACAACCTGCATCATGCAGATGACACAACCTTGCTTGCTGAAAGTGAAGAGGACCTGAAGCACTTACTGATGAAGATTAAAGACCACAGCCTTCAGTATAGATTACACCTCAACATAAAGAAAACAAAAATCCTTACAACTGGACCAATAAACAACATCATGATAAAGGGAGAAAAGATTGAATTTGTCAAGGATTTCATTTTACTTGGATCCACAATCAACACCCATGGAAGCAGCAATCAGGAAATCAGAAGACGCATTGCAATGGGCAAATCTGCTGCAAAAGTCCTCTTTAAAGTGTTAAAAAGCAAAGATGTCACCTTGAAGACTAAGGTGGGCCTGACCCAAGCCATGGTATTTTCAGTCGCATCATATGCATGCGAATGCTGGACAATAAATAAGGAAGACCAAAGAATAATTGACGCCTTTAAATTGTGGTGTTGGCAAAAAATATTGAATATACCATGGACTGCCAAAAGAACGAACAGGTCTGTCTTGGAAGAAGTACAACCAGAATGCTCCTTAGAAGCAAGGTGGTGAGACTACATCTTACATACTTCGGACGTGTTATCAGGAGGGACCAGTTCTAGAGAAGGACATCATGCTTGGTAAATTAGAGGGTCATCAAAAAAGGAGGAAGACCCTCAAGGAGATGGATTGACAAAGTGGCTGCAACAGTGGGCTCAAGCATGACAATGATTGTGATGATCGCGCAGGACCGGGCTTTGTTTTGTTCTGTTGTACATAGGGTTACTGTAAGTCAGAACCGACTCAACAGCACCTAACAATAACTGCAGGATCAGTCTTCCTGAGTTCTTTTTCTTTGTTCAGATATCTGTAGTGATCTTTCTACATTGCATAATTAGCTTAGTTTCAGATACCCAAGGCCTCCCATATATTCTCACCTGCTCTGTGTTGTGCCCTGGAATTGTGCTCCCACAAGACTGGCTTATTCTCTGCTCACTTCCTATGGCTACACTTCACCAGTCCTTTTGTTCCATGAGTTCTCCCTGGCCATCAAGGCTTGGTTTGCATTCCATCTCCTGCCTAAAGTCTTTCCTCATCTTTCTTGTCTCAGTCACTTCTGTCTATAAATTCCTGTAACACTGATATGTACACCCCTTGGTTAATCTGCATGCACATGATTGTAGAGAGAGGGCATAAGAGTATGTAAAAATACACCATATATGTTATTGTTTTTAACATGTGTCTGGTTTCCCTAGCTGGGGTAAGCCCCTTGCTTTGCTCATTTCTTATATCTCCTGTGTAGTATGTAGCCCCTCGCACTTGCACAGCTAATTGTTAGTGACTTGTGAGAATTCCTGAAAGTTGTAAAAATTCACCTCTAGTGAGTCCTCCTGATTCACTCTCCAGTCTGTTCAGTGACAGCATTCTCTAATGATCTCTCTTCTGCTCTTGAGCCTTTACTTTTACCAGCCCATTGTTTTACTTGCCTCTTGACTTGTTTTCTCAGCCTGTGCCCCGAATCATGGTGCAGTCAACCCTCCAGGACATTGGGGTGACCCGGATGGAGGAGGTAAGTCTGTCTGTTCGCTGGTGGCACCTTTGCTGGTGGCTGCCTCACATACAGTGGGTGGCCCTGGTGCTATAATTGCTTCATCCACACCCGCAGTTTTTTATTTTAAAGTTACTGTTTTGATAATTAACTATAATATAGGTCACTGTCTTCTTCCTGTATATTTTCCTTGTTACACTTTTCTATTTTCAACTTGTTAATCATATGATTGCTAAACTTTTAGATGCTTGACTGCTAATGTAGTCTGCTGCTTTAATAGCCCACTGCTAGGCAAAGGAGATTTCTATAAACAGAACGATCTCCTTATTCTAAGTGTTTTGCTTAATTCTCAGTTTTACATTTCATTCTGATTCATGATATCAACATGAAAAGACTAATGCTAAACTGGAGAGAAAATAATCTCTTAAGATCTCCCACAGATCAACGGCACTTCTAATCTTATGAATAGCAAATCTGTTTTCTCCCACTGTGCTTGCATTTTCTCAGGAAATGCTGTATCTTCATAGGACAATTTTATTTATTAAAACAACAACAACAAAAAAAAGCCAAACAGCTTGAAAGAAAATTTAGACCTCCATGAATTCCACTTATTCCTAAAAGACCCTTGGTATGTATTGTAGATAGTACAAGTTGGTGGGTGGCAAGTGGCCCCCCCCCTCCCTCCATAAGTAGTATTTGTCATTTTGCTGAGGCAGGAATTTCGATCTTGAGCTCCAAGACCAGTGGGAGAGAGTGAGAGCAAGTCCCTTGCTGGTGAGGGCACCTGCAGCTCAGGGCAGCTTCTATGCTCATGTGGTGGTATTCTCAAGGCTGGGCTTTCCCAGAAGTCTTTCGAAATGTCTCTGTCAATGATTAGTGTATAATCCATAGATGGTAAATAGTTTTAACTCACATATCAACTCCAGTCAAGTGGGAGCTGCTGCCTGGAGTACTATGATGGAAGGGGTTCTGAGACTGCATTAGGGCTCAGTAGGAAAGAATGCTGCAGTCAGTGCTGTCTGTTATCTTTGATCTGCTCTTTGTTGTCTCTATAGATCTGACCTCTAATCCCTTCGTTTTCACCTACTGGGTGTCTTAGATAAACCCTTTCACCCCTCTGGGCCACTTTGTAAGATGAATATCATAATTCTTCCTGGCCTACATCAAAGGATTCACGTGAAAGCAAATGGGATAATATCATGTAAATATAAGGCATTTCTCTAGACTACAGACTCCTTAGGATAGGGCCTGCATGGAGAAGTTGTTGAAATGACCATGACTGAGTTTTACCCAGTAGGGGATTATGGAACAGTACTATTTCAGGACCATATTTATTGTTCAGATTCTAGTCTCTTAATAGTTTGGTTTGTGTATTCTTCTCTGCATGGCCAGTGATATTAAAAACAAAATAGAAAAGAATAAATAAAATGTACAAATTGCAAAAGAAAAATGATTGAAGGATCACCTAATCTTTTAGAGTGTATATGCTGGTGACAGTTATTGATCTATTGAAGTTAGTAAATTTTGTAGCCTAAACATCCATCACAAAAATGAGCTGTTACTCTCAAGAGGTGCAGTTAATTTCATCCCTGAAAGAGTGCCTTTTGGGGAAAGGCGGGCCTCTGGAAACAGGAATATAAATGACAATTCACGTGAAAATGCATGATTTATCAAACTGCTGAGTTAAACCAAGTAACTGTAAGAGACTTATAGATCATAGCTGTTTCCCAGTTCAGATAAATCCTGTATTTCAAATGGAAAATGACCATTCCTGTAATATAAATAATCTTTCCATAAATACTGGAAAACATATTTCTTTTTCTGAATGGCACCTCGATCTACCCCACCACCCCTGTTTGCTGTCCCTGCCTTCTCTTTTTCCCCTGTCATTGTGAATCAGGATTAGAAAGATAATCTGCCAGCTTCTTAAACTGGCTTAGGTTATAAATAAAAGAACACCTTGCCATCATCTCAGAATCAGTGGGATTTGGATAAACTATGGCCGTCATCCTCCCACATGAAATATGGGCTTTGTGCATGTGTCCTGCCAGAGTGATTCACAGACAGAGTTATGTGAGAGGGAGCAGCCACCCCCGGCTGTCGGGTCCCATTCCTCACTCTCTGCACCTCCCTGGATGCTGTTTACCGCTTGGCCTCTGTCTCCCAGGCATCACAGGTATCCCTGACCCATAAAGTGGAATCAGCCTTCAAAGGCAGCCCAAATGAAAGCATCTCACTAGAGAACGGGCTGAGGACTGGAGGGAGGAGGAGGGCGGGAACCTCTCTCCTGCCCTTCTGCCTGACTCCCACCGAGTAAAGTCCCGTCAGTCAGCAGCCTGAAGGCCATTTTTTTGTGTGTGTGAGCTGGTAAAGCTGTTCGAAAACATTTTCAGATCCTCAGATGAGATCATCATTTAAATTTTGCAGAAGAAATGTGCTCTTCTGGCTTTTTTAATGATTCTCACAGTCTCCTGTGAAGTTGGTGGTGGGCAGGGCTTCTGTGTTTCCAAGGGAGCAAAGTTAGTAGTGTGAGTAAAGGAAGGCAGGAGGGTGGTAATGGATGTTGAGGGAATTAAGATGATACTGTACAACGAGGATGTGCCACACTCTGTAGTGTGATCTTATTGTATCACACTAACTCTGTGTAGTAGAGGTTAGGGTCTCTTTTTATTTAAAAGGTAAAAAAAGAACAAGAAGTGGCAGGGACTGTGTCCATTTTGTTTAGTGCTCTACCTCTGGTACACAATACAGTGCCTGTTTACTGCAGTAGTCATTCAGTGAAAAGCCAAGGTCACATTGAAATAAGTGGTGGAACTGGTGTCTGTCTTACTCCAAAGCCATGCTGTTTTCATTGTCAAAGCCATAATGTTTCAACTAACAACAACAAAATCATTTTCAATTCTTTGGGAAATGAATCCTTAACTTTAAATTCTAAACACTTATGCTTCTCACCTTTCCAGTTCCAGGCTCACCGAGAGAACGTGGAAATTAGTGAGGCACCAGAAGTGACTGTGCGGATTCCATCTGTGGTGAAGATCTATGACAAACCAGCTAAAGTGCCTTCCCAGCAGCCACTTCCTGCAAACAGCCAGGCCCAAGAAGTTCCAGAAGGTCCTCCCAGCCCCCTGAGTGAGACCTCCAGTGGTTACTTTTCCCACAGCGTTTCCACAGTAACTCTGTCAGATGCACTGGTCACAGGCCTTGATGCTGCTGCTCAAGCCACACCCAGCTCCCCTCCAACTCCCATCTGCCAAGTCCCCCTTGAGACTGACCTTCCATTTCCATCTACTGTTTCATGTGCAGAGAGCCACCTTTCTACCCCGTTGGAGAATGAGACCAGCCTCCCATCACTGCCAGTCCAACCGAAGCAAACTTCTCAGTGCAACAGCAATGGTGTATTAAAGCCCAAGGAATTGGTTTCCTTTGCGAAGCAGAATAAAGACCTGGCAAGTGCTTCCCTTGCCATTGATATACCAACATATCTTCCCACTTCTGCCCCCTCAAAGGAATCACCCAGCCAGCAGAGTGTAGGAGAAGTTTCCTCTGCCAGCAAGCAGCCAGGGAACCCAAAGGATCAGATGAAGCCAGCTACCAGCTTGGAGCTAGACATCTCCAAACCCCAGTTTCCTCCTGACCTCCTGTCTCAGTCACCTGCTCCAACATCTCCATTCAGAATCCAAAAGGTGCGAACCTCTGAGCTAAAATCTTTCACTCGCATGCTTGGTGGAGACTCCAGCTGTTCCTCTAGCACTGAGGTGGAGCAGCCAGTCTCAGGAGGGTCAGGTGACAGCAGCTCTGGGGCACAGGACTTGGAAAAACTGGAGGTTGTATCAGACTCTGAAGAAGCCAGTGAAGTCCCAGAGTGGCTCAAAGAGGGAGAATATGTTACCGTTGGCACGAATAAAATGGGCATCGTGAGATATATTGGGCCAACTGACTTTCAGGAGGGAACATGGATTGGAGTAGAGCTAGATTTACCTTCAGGTGAGTGATAACCTGTTAGGAACAGATGCTTGGTATTGGAGGCAACTTAGCATGCTAAATGTGGTCTACTGGAAAAAGCACTGGTCTGGGTCCAGGAGAGCTGGCCTTTGTGTCTGGCTCTGCCAGTAAGTCATTTTACCTCTCTGTGCCTCAGTGTCCCCACTTTTGAAAATTAGGAATTTTCACTAGAAAATCTTTAAGAATAAAATCTGTAACCTCCAGAAACTTCTCAAAAACCCAAGACAGTAATTAAAAGCTAACATAAATTTGGCAATGAATTTCAGTGCACTTTTCTTTTAGTCACAGAAGTGTCTGCATTTGAAATACAGTAGTCAGCTATATTTGATGTGTTTGCTGAGGTTACAAACACTGATGCACACAGGCTGCTCAGTTTTTCTCAGTTATTCTAAAGACTTCCTGGGCTCCTTGGCCCCGGGGGGTTGGGAACCTCTGGATGAGATGATCTAAGATGCATTGCAGGCTTACAACTCTTTCTCATTATAGAGTGGCAGATTTTAAAAGCAAAGAGACCATCATTTTCAGAAAAACTAAGGGGCAGGACTTCAGGAAATAGTTTGTCCCAGAAGTTCAAACAAATTTTTAACATGGCTTTATGGAGATATATATACCATAAATTTTACCCATTTAAAGTGTTTTTTTATATATTTATAGAGTTGGGCAACCATCACCATAATCTTATTTTAGAACATATACGTTACCCCATTAGCAGTCACTCCTCCTCCCTCAGCCTTAGGCAACCGTCAGTCTACTTTCTGTCACTCTAAATTTGCCTGTGCTGGTCATTTAACGTAAATGGAATCATACAATATGTGGTCTTTTATAACTGGCTTCTTTTACTTTCACATAATGTTTTTGAGATTCATCTGTGATTAATGCTGCTGTGACTATTATTGAACAAGTGTTTGTATGCATGTATATTTTCATTTTTCTTGAGTAGATATCTAGGAATTAACTCTGTTTTAACATTTTGAGGAATTTCCATACTGTTTTCGAGTGGCTGCACCATTGTACATTCCCACCAGCAATGTACGAGGGATCCACTTTCTCCACATCTTTGCCAACGCATGTTATTGTCTGTCTTTTTGATTATAGTCATCCTAGTGGGTATGAAGTGGTATATCATTATTGTTTTGATTTGCATTTCCCTAATGAGGTGAGCATATTTTCATGTGCTTACTGGCCATTCATGTATCTTCTTTGGAGAAATATCTGTTCAAATCCTTTGCCAATTTTTTAATTGGGTTGTATTTCTTTTTATTATTTAGGTTTAAGAGTTTTAAAAAATCTGTTCTAGGTGTAAGTCCCTTATCAGATATGTGATTTGCAAATATTTTCTCCCATTTTGTGGGTTGTTCTTTAACTTCTTAATGATGTCATTTGAAGCATAACTTTTTAATTTTCATGAACTCTTATCAGTTTTTTCTTTTACTGTTTATACTTTTTTTTTAAATTGTGACTATATATATATAAAACAAAACATTTCCCATTTCAACATTTTCTGCATATACAGTTCAGTGACAGTAATTATGTTCATTATGTTGTGTAGCCATTACCACTGTTCGTTCCCAGATTTTCCCATCACCCTTAACAGAAGCCCAGTCCCTTCTAAGCAATGATTCCATCTTTCCCTCTCACCCTTGCTAACCACTAATAAATTTTGGTCTCCATACATTTGCCTATTCTAGATATTTCATATAAGTGGGATCATATAATTTTTTTTTCTTTTTATTTGGCATTTTTTTAATTGTGTTTTAACTGAAATTAGTTTCTCATTAAACAATTAATACACATTGTTTTGTGACATCGGTTGCCAACCCCACGACATGTCAACACTCCCTTTCTCAACCTTGGGTTCCCCATTACCAGCTTTCCTGTCCCCTCTTGCCTTCTAGTCCTTGCCCCTGGGCTGGTGTACTCATTTAGTCTCGCTTTGTTTTATGGGCCTGTCTAATCTTTAGCTGAAAGGTGAACCTCAGGAGTTACTTCAGTACTGAATTAAAAGGATGTCCTGGGTCCATACTGTTCGGGTTTCTCCAGTCTCTCTCAGACCAGTAAGTCTGGTGATTTTTTTTGTGGGTTAGAATGTTTTTCTACTTTTTTCTCCAGCTCTGTCTGGGACCCTCTATTATGATCCCTGTCAGAGCAGTCAGAAGTGGTAGCCGGGCACCAGCTAGTGCTGGACTCAGTCTGGTGGAGGCTCTGGTAGTTGTGGTCCATTAGTCCTTTGGACTAATCTTTCCCTTGTGTCTTTCATTTTCTTCATTCTCCCTTGCTCCAGATGGAGTGGGACCAGTGGAGTATCTTAGATGGCCATCACAAGCTTTGAAGACCTCAGACACTACTCACCAAAGTAGGATGTGGAACGTTTTCTTTATAAACTGTGTTATGCCAATTGAGCTAAATGTCCCTCGAGACCATGGTCCCCAGCCCTCAGCCCAGTAATTCAGTCCCTCAGGGAGTTTGGATTTGTCTATGAAGCTTCCATGACCTTGTCTTTGTCAAGTTGTGCTGACTTCCCCAGTATTGTGTACTGTCTTACTCTTCACCAAAGTAACTATTTACCTATTGTCTATTTAGTGTTTTTCCCTGGCCACTCTTGTAACCATCAAAGATTGTTTCTTTCTGTGTGGAAACCTTTTCATGAGCTTTTATAATAGTGGTGTCAAACCATATTTGTCCTTTTGTGATGGACATATTTCACTCAGCATAGTGCTCTCCAGATTCATCCATGTTGTGAGATGTTTCGTAGATTCATCATTGTTCTTTGTCGTTGTGTAGTATTCCATTGTGTGTATGTACCATAGTTTGTTTATTCATTCATCTGTTGATGGACACTTAGGTTGTTTCCGTCTTTTTGCTATTGTGGATAATGCTGCAGTGAACATGGCTGTGCATATGTCTACTCATGTGATAGCTCTTATTTCTCTATGATATATTCCTAGAGGTGGGATAGCTGGATCATACGGTATCTCTATTTCTAGCTTTTTATGTATTTTGGAGCCCTGTTGTTGGGTGCATAAATATTTATTATAGTTATGTCCTCCTGGTGTATTGACCCTTTTATCATTATATAGTGCCCTTCCTTATCTTTTGTGGTGGATTTTACTTTAAAGTCTATTTTGTCAGAGATCAATATTGCCACTCCTGCTCTTTTTTGAGTGTTGTTTGCTTGAAATTTTTTTTTCCATCCTTTGAGTTTTAGCCTGTTTGTGTCTTTAAGTCTAAGGTGTGTCTCTTGTAGGCAGCATGTAGATGGATCATGCTTTTTTATCCAATCTGCCACTCTCCATCTCTTTATTGGTGCATTAAGTCCGTTTACATTCAGTGTAATTATTGATAGGTATGAGTTTAGTGCTG